ATTGGTTGGGAGATGACACGTTGGTCATCTTCAACCTCTAGTCATGAGAATTGTAGGTCTCTTGAATGGAAAAATTAGAGCTCGAGACCGGTACCATTCGCTTCGTCTCTTCAGACGATTCCAATGGTACCCTCGCGGAAAATTTATGTAAGGTGTAGCTCAGTCGTTTTGGAAGGAAAGATTTGAAAAGGTATTTGAAAATTCATGGCCAAAACTCACTTTCAGTTGAAAATAAATATTGCGACTAGAATCAGAATGATGAGAGCTTCATTATAGTATCAAAGTTTGAGAGAATTGGTGAAGGAATTTACCTATTGAAGTTCGAATTTAAAGCTCTGAAACTTGACTTGGCTAGCACGATTTAGGAAGTCTTAGAGCTTGGTTCTTCTTCTGTTAGCTTCAGTGAGGTTCAAGGATGAAGAATTGTCAAAGAAAATGGATTGAGGAAAGTTGTAAAACCAAATTCGAAGTTGCAGAAAAGTGAGTTCAAGAGGAAGTTTGACAGGGTGATTCTGGCTCTCTAAGCTTGATAAAATGAATGAGGTATGATCCTCTATTTATAGGGAAACAAGTGGGACGCTCAAGCGTGTGGAATGATGGAATTTGAAGGGAATTTGTGTGAACCTGATACATGAGGAGTGTGTGACCTGTTTAGCATCAAAACTCACTCAATCCTTGTGTTTCAAGGCTCTAATCCAATTTGGCAAGTTGGTTAAACATGTTTAGACCAAAAACGCGTGCTAATTTGATGTTTAGAAGCCACAACATGAATTTCAAATTCTAACTTGAAGTGAAACTTCAGTTTCAAGGTACCATTTTTGAATCAATGAAATTCACAGCTCAAGGAGTCTTAGGGCATGATTCTTGAAGCTTTAGAAAGATGGGATCACAAGATTTACAATGTGAATAAAATGGCAGATAATGGATGTTTGTGCAAAGAGTTGTGATGAGTCAAAGTTGAGAAAAAGAAGATGACTTTTATAGTTAGAAAAATTTCAAGTTTTCTCTTCAAAAATGACTTGTAATGTTTTAAGCTCAAACAAGACTTTCCTCCAAATTTGAGCTTTGATCATTGATGCTAGCTTAAAATAGACCTCATAAAGAGAATTGTGAAACTTGAATCACTCAAAAACACCAAGTATTGAAAAAGTTATGGTCTTACAAAATTGGTGAAAATTCATGAGATGACCTATAATCTTTTGTATCCTTAGGATATCTTTCATCCATTTTCATGCTTTACAGATAAAAGAAGAGTCGAAGTTCACATCCTTAAGATTATTATGGAAAAAGAATGGGCTCAAGGAGATAAAAATTTACCAAGTTATGATCTTTTAAAGTCACATAGGGGAATTTGATGGCCTATCTAGAGGACTTGTAATCTTTCTTTATCATTAGGTATCTTCCATACAAAATTTTCTTGAAACTTTTAAAGTGATTTGTTGATAACCATTTTAAGAGAAGAATGTTTTTGGAATAACTCAAAAATACCAAAATATGAGCATAGCCTTTAGAAGTTCAAAATCCTAGCTCCTAGAGCAACAAAATGCCTTGACAAACCTTTTCAATTTTGACAAAAAAATTTTGCACAAATACTTTTGTCATGTATATAAAAGTTGTTGAGGATGATAATGAGAAATAATAGTAACCATAACCAATTCCAAATATTAAGATTGAGGGAAATATGCACTTGTGATCAAGAAATCAAGAACTTGTCCAATTAGGTCAAACTTCTCCCATCAACCCTTACATCTTTGAACTATCTTTGAAAACTTGAGGCATGATGAATCATAATAGACTTTGTCATGATATTACTTCAAAACATCTTCAATGATGGAGCTTGAATATAAATGAAGCTTTGTTGAAGAAGGCATGGAAATAAACTCATGAACCTATAGATCAACTTGATGGAATGTGTTGTGCTTTCACCTATAATATCATCAATTAGGGAAAACATTCATTGTATTTATTAGTTAAAAGTTAATTAATATAAACATAGATGATCAAAAAATACAAGTCAAGGTGCTTGTTGATTCCCCATGAGAAAATCTAAAGATAAGGAGAATAACCAAACCCCAGTGTGACCTTATTATGATTGAATTGATATGATATGATAGAGGAATCTTAAGGGCAAAAATTAGGGTGCAAAAATCCAGAGGCTAAAGTTGCTTCTCTATTCTCTGTTTCTTCATAAATTTGTAAGTCCCAATTCTTCCACTAATACACTCCTTGAATGAATCACGGGAGAAGATTATTAGGAATTCTCCAACACTGAGTTCCAAAAGGGAGGAGTCTGTAAATCCTTTCCCATCAGTGAGTCATCTCAAACGAGCAAGACATGTTATTACTGCTTCCACAAGGGACACAACCATAACAATAATGACTACATCTAACTAAAATATGCCATCAAGAGACTTATAAAAAGAGGTCATATGTCCGAGTATAATAGGGGTAATAAAAGGTAAATAGAAGAGTCACCTAAGTGAAAGTTCCCCTTAAAATTTGCGGACGATGTGACTAGTGGAGAAGGGACCAATGTCAAGAATATGAGAGTTGGCAAGGGGAAGAACCAAAACATTATCGCTATCGCTAGAGGAACGTCCCTGGTGAATCTCTCATCCAAAGGAACAATGAAGAGGAATAATATTGAAATGTTGGCCTTCCATCAGAAGGTTGGAGGCACGTCAACCAAAGCCATGGCCGGCCAATGCTTGGGTTCCGAGATTTGGAGAAAATCGGGGGAACCCCAAATGAAATTTTCTCTTTAGCCACAACTACTATTATTAGGCATTTCATCATTTCCCAAATTCTGATAGATGGTGCTAGTTCGTGCGACATAATATACTCTGAGCTATTTGAGAAGATAGACCTCGAGAGGGCAAGTTAGTGGTTATACGAAGGGTCATACCTATAAGTGTTTAACGGCATGACGAACCACCCATGAGGGAATGTCGAGTTAATGGTATCTATAAGAGAAGAAAATGATGTTCGAACTGTGAAATCGCATTTCCTGGTGGTACTTTGTGGAAGTGTTTACAACATCCTTCTTTTTAGATCTTTCACAGCCACCCTGGATGTCGTGGCCTCATCAGTCCACCTTAAGCTTAACTTTCACTACCTTCATAGAGAACCGGTTACAGTCAATGCTGACCTTGAGGGAGTCAAAAGGATATATCAAGCACTTAAGTATGACCTAGGAAAGAGAAAAATCATTGAAATTAATGTAACATCTTTAACCGACCAACTCTGGAGAATGGACGAGAGGCAAAACAAGGAGAATAAGTAGCGGTTAAGCCACTTGGTTATGTTTTCAAATTTGCATTTGATGTTATTTATGTATAATCAATTTTCTTACAAATGTATGATGATTTCCCAATTGTTAAATAAGAAATCATAAGTTTTGAAATATATATTTTATTTGTGACTGTGTAAGCTAACAACAACTCTGGGGTATGTCTGAAGGGATCAAAATCCAATAAAAAGACTCAGAGGTGTTGTCACAAACGCCACAAGTGAGCGAGTATAACAATCAAAATCTCACAACGTGAAACTTACACACACAAACACACAAATAAAGTGGTAAAACCAATAAAATGAAAAATAACAGTCCACCCCTCTGGTAGCTAGCCACTCTAGTGGTCACGATGGATTAGCCAATGTCGACCTCTGACCGAGTTTTCAACTTATTAGGGGAAGGGGAATCGACCCTTGGTCGAGAATGACCCTAGTGACGTATAATAAACTTCGATGGAAGACCTCGTAAGTTCATACAGAGGAATGTACTCGAGATTGAACACATATATTATAAACAAGTAAAAAGAACACCTATTTATTTCATTTCAACTATACTTTAGAACCAATGTTGCAACAAAAAAGGAATAATGGCTAGACCAAAAGAGAGATGATCTTCCCATCTTGAGCATCTGGTCTGGCACACCAAGTATAACACACCAAAGTAGTCAATTATTCCTCAAGAGCAGGCTCGATCAAGTAGGCTAAGTAAGAACAATCTTTCTCTGGAGGAGATGTTCGGCGTTCTTTAGAAGGGCGAGGGCTAGACCCCATCAATTGCACAATAGTCGCGGGACCCAACACAGACAATGGCTACTGGGGAGCATTCAAAATAACAATATTCCCAGAGGGCTATGAGGGCTATGAGGGCGAAGAATTTAGGTATGCAATCTCAAATTCAAATTTCATTCACTTTTCCCCTCTACATACTGGCTGTGATGTTAGAGTGTCAATCTTACATGTGACCATGTCCTCCTCTGCATCAGAAGCTCAAATCCACTGTTGTCTTATGCAACTACTAGTTCTTTAACCAATTATAATTCTGCAAAAGAACATATCTAATCTCAACTTAAATCATTTTTTATAAATCAAATACTTTTATGTTCAACTATATAGACTAATAATCTCTTTAGTTAAAGAAGATCTTAATGGACATCAAAATTCTTCATAATTCAATTCTTTATCAAAATTAAAATTGAAAAACAATTGTGTTCTTTTAACAAAATCATAAAACAATACTAAATAATACAATTTCATTCAAAACGACAAACTTTATTTTTATAAAATCCGAAGAGAAAATAAAATATACACAATTTTATCATGTCATTCAATTAAAATATATTATTCTATCATATCATACAAATAACTTAAAATAACTTAAAAATGTTATATAACCCCATCTTTGCATCTTCAATAAACTCAATTATGAGGATAATCTCCATTCTAAAAAATGTTAATGCCCATTCCCATAATTAATCTATTGTTAAGTTGGGTTGAATCTATCAACCCGATCCAAGATCAACCCGACCCAATAAGATTATTAGTTTAAGACAATTTCCTTTTTTCCCCAGTGTTTTAGGGTTTAAGCACACACACGCTTAGAATTCTTAGCAAAAATCTTAAACCCTTGAAAAATCAGCGCCAAAAAAATTAGAAAAAAACCCAAAAATTCTGTAACAGTTTTTAATTCTTCAATTTGTTCTGATCGAAAAATGGATAAGAACGCTTTTGGAGACATTGATAATTTTCCTGAGGAAGATAAGAAAAGAATGTCAATCATGGTAGAACAGCTTCAAATGCGAGATAAGTATGTTTCAATTTTGTTATTCTGATTCTTTCAATTCTTTGGAATGGTTACTTGTATGTATGAGATATTTCAAATTGAATGAGAAATTTGATGCTAGATTGGGGATCTGGTTTTGTGTATGTGAAAAGTGTTGTGTGCTGGAAATGGATTAGGTTTTGTTTATTACTGGGAATTACTGAATCATGGTTTCATTGTTTGTGATATCTGCAGTACATGAAAAGTGATTTAGAATGTGTTGATTCTAGTTGGAAACTAAATATTGAGCTGTAGTTTCAATTTGATACAACTTTTTATGATAGTTTAATTGAGAAGATTGAAGCTTAGAGCTGATCCAGTGCTATCTTTCATGTTGAGTTGAATTCCGATCGAATACGTACGACTGGACCCTAATTGCGGGTGTAGACATCAAACCCGCAATGTTGTGGTTAAAATTGGGGTTCCGTTTGATTGGAAACTTAATGCATTCATTTTGATGAGGACAATAAAAAGACACGAACCCCTCTTGACTTTGAATATATAGTTCTGTGCTATGCGACACCCCGTACCCTGACACTGACATGGCGACACCGGTAATAATTTGAAAAAAAAAGAATAAATCAAACATAATTACAAGTGTCGGTGTTGGTGTCTGACCGCGAAACAAACAGGACTCACATATTTTCTGAGGTGTCGGTGCAACATAGGTTATGTGTACTGAGTTTCTAGTGAATGGCATGAGCATTGGCTAATTCAAACCTTGTTTTTCTGTGTTGTGTTTTTCACTATTCCATGTCAAATAGCAGTGCTATAGAGGTATACCATAACATAATTTTGTTCAAATCAATCACTGTTGTTTCACACCACGCTATTCAGTATAAAGCGTTGTCAAGCAGTTTCCATTGCGGCACTATAGTGTTGTAGCGTAGTGAAATGTGAATAAGCTGCTATTGACTACACTGCAAATGGGGTTGCTCTCTAATTAATTTCAGAGCTGATACTATTTTATCCTTGGAGTAGTGAATCTAGCTATTAGTTTTAACGTTAAGGACTTTCTCTTGCAAATTGCAATAGCTTTGGCTAGTGTTGTTGATGGCGGTCCATGGCAGAGAGCCAAAATCCCACCATACCAGCCGCTTTGTGACGCCGTTATAGCATATTATGACGGAAAACTCCGCAATATCGGCTGATATTTTTACCATCTCGGCGACCTAAAAAATCGCCATGTATATCCTCCATAGTGCTACCATGGCCTATATATTTGATAACACTGGCTGAAAATCATCTTTAACATGTTTAATGGAGATTTTGGTTAGAATTTGGAATTGATTGATTGCATACTTATACTCTAGAGTTGAGGTTATTAAGAATTTAGAACTTATATGATGGCTTTACAGTTACATTGAGATAATAAATTATCGCCCGACATTTATAAGAGTTTAACATAAACTTTACATATTTAAAAAGCATTAGATTTGTTAAAGTCTAGAGTTGAAAGATATAAGGATATGAATGTATAAGTTTTACTTGGCCTAGTAGCATAAGGTTGATTTTTCTGATATAATCTCTGTTCAAACAAAACTGCAGTCTTAGGTTGTACAATTCATTAGTCGAGAGATGTTTCAAGAATTGTGTCAATACATTCTATCGGAGTTCATTGAACAAGCTAGAGGAAACATGTGTCCTCAGATGTGCTGAAAAATACCTGAGGCTTTCAACACAGGTCGGCATTAAATACTCAGATATCTATCAAGGAGCATCTACAACAGACAAACAATAGTGGTTTGTGTAACTGAGAAATTGATTTTCTTAGATTTGTATTCTTTTTTTTACCGTCAATAACCGGGAATTAATGTTTATGGTTGAGGAATTCCTTTATAGATAGAAAAAATGAAGTGGGATTTCTAGAGATAAGCTCTTGTTTTTGTTGTTTAATATGATCTGGTATTGATTCCAGAAGAAATTTTCATACAAATTGCGGGATAAAATCAAGTCACTGCTCCTCTCTTCGACTTGCATGAAATCAAACACGGTCTTACATTGATGCTTTTCTAACTTCTCATTGATTTTTTGCATTGGATTTTTTTCTGATAAATGTATTAGACCTGTCATTATTATTTGTTCTAAGCATTTTGTATCTTAGTTTTCTATCTATAACATGTTTGGGGAGTTGCATGAAATTTGTTGTTATAAGATTGTTGACCCTAGAAGCTCAGTATTGAAGGGACTGTTTTCCGATTCTCGATTGGGATATACCGAATTCAAAAGTAAGATCATTGACCCTTTTATACACATCATTGGAACAACAAATGATATTGTTTTTCTTTTGCTTCTGTGTGCACTTCTAACAAACTGCAAACATGAGGAATTACATAAAAGGTTCATGTGATATTGCTAAACTACAATGTCTAATATAGAGTGCAAAGTGGATATAAGTTTAACTTTGGAGTTTGAAGTTCATGAGATAAAACTCCAGAGATAAAAAAGGTTGAGAATTTGGAAGTATGTGAAAACTGAAAAATCAAATTTTACAGTTTATTTGACAAAACAAATTGGGTCATTAGAATATAAATTGATACGTCCCACATGTGATACCCAACATTATCAGAAAGTGGATAGAACTCCTCAAAATTGATCAAGAGCATATTTGTCATTGGGTCAAAATATGTTAAGGTTGAAGACAAGTCTTGCATTTGGATGTAACTGAATTCTAAACCCTAACATTTATTATTTTGAGTCATGGTTTTAAGTTATTTGATATTTTGCACTTTGATGATTATTTTGATTTTGATGTTAATGCATGCTTGTAATTTTAAGTGTTTTTTTTTACAATTTTTGGTAGTATCGTTATTCAACTATGATTGCAAGTATTTTATGTGATGAATTTTTTTTTTGTATATTTAACGTGAAAAGAAATAATGATAATACGTTAAGCTTTATTTTTTGAAAAAAATAGTTGAATTATCTTTTCAAAAACAAACACATCATTTATAATTTTGTGAAGAATTTTTTTGTGAATAATCCCCCTATCCAATTCAATCAATACATAATTTTGCAGTTTTATGTTATGTGATTATTTTATCTTACTTAAACTAACATACCCAATATAAGTCTTTATGGTTTTCTCCAAAATAATTAAAACCGAAAACGACATGGATTCGGTGTATTTGGATTTAGAGTTTTAAGATTAGACTGAGTTTAAATCCGTTATAAATAAATAAGTTTGTTAATATATGAATAATAATGCATAAGAATAATTATATTTTTTAAATAATATAAAAATTTATTGATAATTTTATAATAATTAACATCTAATAGTTTTTTAGTTTTTTATAGTCTTTTAAATTTTCAAAAGTTAAATATATTTCTGATTCTCATAAATATTTTAATTTTGATTTTTAATCCTATAAAAAAAAAGTTGAATTTTAGTTTTTATAAAATTATTTTTGTATGTAGCTTTAGTCTTTGTAGAGGAATTAAAATTACATATAAAAGTAATTTTATAAAGACTAAAACTCGACTTTTTTTATAAGGACTAAAATCATTTTTAGTAATTTTATAGAGACTAAAAATATATTTAATCGTTTTGGTAGTTTTTTATAATCTTTCATATTTTCAATAGGTTAGATAGATAGGCTTAAAAATTTCATTTTAATATAATAATAATAATAATAATAATAATAATAATAATAATAATAATAATAATAATAATAATAATAATAATAATAATAATAATATTAATAATAATAATAAAATTAATAATCTAATAATTTATTAATTGTTTGTTCATGACAATCATTTTATTATTTCTTCTTCTCTTAGGTTATGTGTTGCATTGTATTTTATTATATTTATCTATTATAAATATTATTTTACAAAATAAAAAAAATAGTTTTTTAGTAATAAGAGGAAAAAAATAAATCAAATATTATTTTATTCAAACAAAATCTTTTATAATATTTTTATAAATTAATAATAAAATTCGATTTAACCTTATAAATAGTAAGTTTTTTCGTTTTTAATTTGATTTTCTGATTTGAATTTCGATTCTTTACATGTTAGTTTTCAACCCCCAATAAATTAATAAATATTTCAGTTTTCTGATTCAATCAGTTGAACTGATTTATCCGATTCAATTTTAATTATCATGATTTTCTCTCTTTTGATCATTTTCCTTTCACAAACTTTTCTTTTTCTACATTCCGGTTTCAGCAAATTAAACTACTCATGGCTAGTGAAATTTACATTAAAGTCTGCTTCTGTTTGTAGTCTGAAATTTAATATTAATTTGAGATATTATGTATAGTCTATATATATTTTACACGTGTAATATTAAAGATAAGAAATGAATGAATGTTATTAGAGTACTTTTCTCATTTCCATTATGCTATCAGAGTCTTTTGATTCCTTCCGCTCAAAATCAAGAAAGCTTCAAAGAAGCTTTTAATCTTCATCAAGAATCATTCGGAGAAGCTTCTAACAAGTTTCATCCACGCTTCTGAGAAGCGTTCTCTCCAACCACCTCACTGGTTCTTCAAGCTTCAGAGAAGCTTCATGTTCATCAACTCTAATTTCTCTCGCTCTCTTCGCCATGGAATCAGCTCCACCTTCTCCTCGCGCGTCTGAAATTCTAAATCCACTCTTCACACAATCCAATTCATCAAGTGGCAACACGTTTGGTCCTAAACTATACATCAAGCTCAATGATAACAACTTTCTTCTGTGAAATCAGCAAGTTGAAGGTATAATTCTCTCAAATCGGTTGCACTGGTTTGTTGTGAGTCCCCAAATTCCACAAAAATTTAATTCGGAGCTTGATCGCCAGAATCATGTCACCTTCGATGAGTATGATGCTTGGTTTGTGCAAGATCAAGCGTTGTTCATTTGGCTTCTCTCCACTATTTCCAAATTCGTGCTACCTAGGGTTCTCTCGTGCAACCACTCATTTGAAGTAAGGGACAAAATCCCCAAGCATTTTAATGCGATGATGGAGGCTAAAGTGCGACAACTGCGTTATGAACTCAAGACTACAAAGAAGGCGAATCGAACAGTATCGGAGTATGTTCTCAAGATCAAGTCCATTGATGATTCTTTGCTTGCAGTGGGTGATATAATCTCTGAAGAAACTCAAATTGATGCTATCTTGGATGACTTTCCTAAGGAATACACTTCTTCGTGATGCAAATGTATGGTAAATCTGATTCTTTAACTCTTTATGATGTTGAGGCATTGTTGTATGTTCAAGAAGTGCAGTTAGACAAGTTTAGACAAGAACTCGCTATCTAATGTCTCTGCAAATCTTGCTGTATCCAATTCCAAACAAAGTGCACCTTCAAATAGTGGAAATTCAAATAATAGAGGTCGCAGCTATGGTTATCATGGTAGAAACAGGGGTTGGGGAAATCCCTAAAGTTCTATAAATCGACCTACTTGCCAACTTGTGGCAAGTATGGACATGTTGTTCTAGATTGTTGGCACATATTTGATGAAACATTCATTCCTGATGCTTCTCCTCATCAACCTTCTCAATGGCCAAGTAATGATAAAATGGTTTCCACCTCTCAAAGTGATACTACTCATGATGCTACATCACTAATGGCTACTCATCATTCCTATGGAGCTACTCAAGACTTGAATGTGCCTTTAGAACTAGACTCTCATGCGTGGTTTTCTGACTCAGGTGCCACGCACCTTATTCTGCATTTTACATAGTTGCAAACATTACACAGGCTTGAACTGAGTCTGTGTGGGAAATGGTCAATTTTTAGATATTCAGGCCATTGGATCCTCTAAATGTCATTCCATGGTAATACTACACATCACACCGTCACTTAGAGATATCTTGCTTGTTCCTCAAATCACTAGGAATATTTTATTTGTATCTCAGTTCTCTAAGGATAATGATGCTTACTTTGAGTTTCATCCTAATCCCTGTTACATTAAATTCCAGGCATCTAAGGTTACCTCTCTTGAAGGCGCTCATGACTCTGATGATCTGTACAGATTCTTCTCATTGCTTGTGAAAAAGACAACATCTTCAATTTCTGGTGGGATTCAAGTCACATCTCCAACTGTCAATAATGATGTGCAAAGTCAAGCTAGTACCAGTTCTATTCTTTCTATTTGGCACCGTAGGCTTGGTCACGCCCACTATGAGGCAATTAGGTCTATTTTACAAAATTGAAATATTTTTATACCACATAAAGCTACTCTGGAATTTTGTAGTTCCTATTGACTGGGTAAATCAAACAAACAATATGCACCCCTGACACACACAATTTATCATAAACCGTTTGAAGTAATTTACACATACCTTTGGGGTCCCTCCCCAATTTCGTATAGTGGTGGCTTTAGATATTACATTGCGTTTGTGGATACCTATACTAGATATACCTGGATTTATTTTCTGAAAAATAAGTCAGATGCACTTAGGTTACCACTAACTATTTAGCTAAGTTGGGCATTACACATAGGTTAACATGTCCCTATACATCTCATCAGAATGGAACCGTAGAAAGGAAGCCCAGGCACATTGTAGAAATGGGGCTATCATTTCTTGCTCAAGTCTCCATCCATGTCACCTTTGGGGATCACAGCTTTACCACAACTGTGTATCTGATAAATAGACTTCCCACTAAATTTCTGAAAGTTTTTTCTTCCCCTTTTCATGCCCTTCATCAATATCTTTCAGACTATAAGTCTATAAAGACCTTTGTGTGTGCTTGTTTTCCCAAATTACAGTTTAGGAGTAATAGATAGAGGAAATAGATAGTTTTAATATAGGCTTATGATATTATGTAAAGTATTGTGAGGTTAATGTGTATGGCCTATATATACTGTACATGTGTATTGTTAAAGATAAGAAATGAATGAATGATAGTACATAGTATTTTTGTCATGTCCATTACCCCGAAGTCTCTTAAAATACCACTAACACTCCCTCTAGTTTTAAAATATGCACACACCTCACTTAAACTTACATATACTAACGAAAGCTTTTAGTGACAGACAATAAACCGTAGATAAATGTCATCTATATTTACGATTTTGACTATCACTGAAAATTATAGGGCTCAAGGGAGGTTAGTGTTTATTTTAAAATTAGAGGGAGTGTCGGTGTTATTTCATTTATCCTCAAGGAAGGTGAGTCTAGTTTTCCCTAAAGTTTTTAGTTTAAAATTTTGAACTAAAAATTTTAATTTAATTATAAATATATAATATGTTAAATTAATTATAAATATTTTTTTAGTAGAATAGATAAAAGACAACTTCATATTTTTATGGAACCGTTAGGAAATATACCTCTCTGTTTCAGATATGCAGAGTCACATGATTTGCAAAAGAATATCGGTAATGAAGTATTTATGGGCTCCCTTGAAAAAGGGTATGGGGCCTCCCCAGCAACTGAGACCTAGTGTGCAACTGGGACATCCTCATTATGGTATGCACAACTCTGTGATCCCGACGCCTGTAATAGTCGACTCCTAGAGCTTGACACCTCCCTGTCATGAGGCATAGGGACGACTCTATCCCACTCATGCAGAAGAGCCCTCTCACGATGAGAAGACGTGGTTAGTGTTTCACGGTTGTGTCTCATCTTGTCGACGCAGTTAGGATTTTCATTCATTTTCCTTGAAAAAACATAAGAAAAGATATCAGTGCATAGGAAAGAGTTGGGAGATGTATCTCCAAACACTAGAAATAACATAATTTAGAGATACATATCCGGAGAAAAAAAAATCGTTTTTGAGCTTCCTTGGCAGAAACATTTTTGATACTGACCTAGTCATCCAAATCATATAAACACACCTTAAACATAATCTATTTCAAATGCTAATGCTATCTAATGTATTAAAACTAAAATATTTGAGCTAATACATTAATCCAAACTCAAAATAAACTAAATAAAACTTATTTAAAAATATGTTGATGAGGGTGTAAAGTGTTGAATGCAGTTGATCTGATGTTGCTTCTAAACTTGACCATGAGTGGGAGTTAAAAATGGGTAGAAGGAGGGAGAAGGAGTTTTTTCTGAAAAATGAAGAAGGAAAAGGGGGAGAGTTTGGTGCGTGTTTTAAATACGTTAACCTAGTTCGAAAATGCATCTCTAAAATATTTTGTTAAATTTCCAAAAAAAATTAATTCGAAAATGTATCTCCGAACAACTATATTTGGTGTTATCTTTAATAAAACAATAGCATAATAAATAATTATTAATTGTTAATGACATTTAAAATGTAAGTACATAATCATATATGGACCAAAAATTTTCCATAGTCTACAAATCACTTTCTATTATTGTAGTGGGTGTGCACCGATTTAAACTTGTTTTGTAACCTTACAACCCACGTCCCTCATTTGGCGTTTAGAATCACTAATATCATTGTTAATATGGACCATTGGTTACTAATTATGTTTCTAGGACATGGTTTCATACTTTATTTTAATAGAGTGTAGTGTACCATGCATGCCCACCATAACATAACCCTGGTAAGTATAGTTTAGCATGCAGGTCGTGCATATGTAGTATGTATGTGGTGTAATCAATCATAATGAGAAGATATATATAGAAGCTATAGTATTGTAAGAAATTAACAATCATTAATTAATATGAAATGAAATTCACAAATGCTTTTCTATTATGGTATTAGATTCTGGTTGATCCCTCCTGCTCTCTAACTATTCTAACAACTCTTACTAAATCCAATTACAATCTAAGAGTGCAACTGTTTCTTCCTCGAGCAACCATTACTGAGCCCACTGAACCATCTTAAGCTACATCACCGATAATAATGGCACAATAATCTCAAATCATTTCATTCATCGCATCAGATTCATCTACCTTACACTTCATCCTGGAACTTTCAATCAAACATCAAGAGTTCATATAGTACATAAAGGTGTCATACTTGCTCATAGAATACATAAAACAGTGGTTAATCCACGCATTCCTCAAAAGTTAAAAATGGTGCAAGATCAAGCTGAAGACAATGTCTCTGATGAATATGAAGCATGGTTCGTGCAAGATCATACGATCTTCATACGACTTCCCTCTACCATTTTGGAATTAATGTTACCACACATTCTTTGCTGTAAACATGCGTTTTAAGCGCGGGACAAGATTCATAAGTACTTCAATGCTCATATGAAAACACATGTGAGACAACTTCTTGTAGAGTTAAAATTCGTCAAGAAAGGTAATATTTCAACCATTGAATATGTTCTTCGTGTCAAAGGTATTGCAAAATTGTTATCATTTGTTGGTGATGTTGTTTCAGAACTAGATCAGATAGACTTCATTTTTTATTGATTACCTGAAGAGTATAATCCATTTTTAATGAAAATGTATGGGACGTGGTAGGGGGCGTAGTAGAGGATGCACCTTGCCTGGTACTCGACCTACTTGCAAACTGTGTGGCGAATATGGGCATGTTGTGATGAATTGTTGGCACAGGTTTGAAGAGAGCTTTAGACTTGCATTTGCCCAGTTGAAAGCTTTTAAAAAAACTTATAACTCCACTGATAAATGTGCTAGTGCTACAACTGATCCTCAAGCCTTGGCTTTGATGGAAAATGCTCATCAATACTCATTGCCTAAGGACCTTGAAAACCAAGCTTGGTTCTCTAACTCAGGTGTTTCACGCCATCTTACTTTTAATCCTTATTTCTTACACTCTAAGAAATTGTATAATGGTCTAAGTCATGTCAATATAGCCAATGGTCTATCTTAAACCATTAAATGTGTAGCCCCTAGTGTTTATTCACCTCTTTGTCCCTACATTTGCATGTCTCTCAATGATATACTACTTGTATTGTGCATTACACAGAATGTGTTATCAGTTTCCAAAATTCCAAATGACAACAAAGTAGTATTTGAGTTTTGTGATAACAATTATTTTATCAAATCTCAAGTTTCTAAAGTCACTCTAGTTGAAGGCTTTCTTGATTCTTATGGATTGCACTACTTTCCACAATTGGTTATGGGGTCTTTAAGGAGACAATCACAATATCTTTCAATCTCTTCTTCATTATGGTTTACTGTTAATTAGATTTCTTGCTAAGTATTCACTAATGTAAATAAACATAAATCTAGTGTTTTGTGGCATTATATACTAGGTCATGCAAAATTTCAAGCCATTCAAATGGCTCTCAAACATTGTAATTTTGCAAGTCATGTTGTTTAGGCAAGTCTCATAAACTTCAAGCTCATATATCTTCAACTGTTTATCAAGCTCCATTTGATGTTGTTCATATTGATCTTTGGGGGTCTTCTCATTTTCATTCTAACTTTGGTTAACTATATTATTATTCATTTTATGAATTCATACACTAAATTTACTTGGATCTATTTTCTAAAGCACAAGTCTAAGACAATGTATGCTTTCAGATCTATTTGAGCTTTGTTCAAACTCAAATCAGTACAATCAGATGATGGGGGATATTTAGTCCTTTTACCAAGTACCTAACTGAGTCGGGTATCTCACGCATGCTCACTTACCCTTGCACATCCCATCAAAATGGTACAGTGTAAATAAAACACATGCACATTGTAGAAATGAGACTCACATTATTATCCCATTACTATATGCCTCGACAGCTCTAGGATCATAGCTTTGACTCAGATGTTCATGTGATCAACTAACTTCCCCCCACTGGTCTCGCAAAGTTTTTATTTCCCTACCATACCTTAAACAATAAGCTTTCTCAACTATGCCTCACTAAAAGTGTTTGGATGTGTCTGTTTTCCTCACACCAAGCCTTACAACAAACACAAACTAGATTTCAGAAGTCAAGAACGTGTATTTCTATGCATTTCATCTCAGCACCAAGGGTACAAATGCTTAAGCAAGACTAGGAGAATTTTCATTTCTAAATATGTAATATTTCCTGAGAATTTCTTTCCCTATCCCTTTCTATTTCCGCCTGAGCCTGATACATCAAAAGAACAAGTCATTCCCTCGGAGTACCTGTTATTTCCTCAACTAAATATCTCTAAATTTTACCGTACATCTCACAATGGCCTTGTATGTAATGATTCTCACTGTGGTATAGAAGATCATATGTTCTCCCCATTAATATTTATTGATAACATACATTCTTCATCCATACTTAACCTTCATGATACATCTAGGTCACAATCATTTGTGGTACCTAATCCCACTTCAAGTCACCTCACAATCTCACTCATGTCCCCTTACCTGTTAGTACCTATAAAAATAGTCAGGCTAGTCCTAAAAACATGACAAATCTCATATACAACTACACATAGTCCTTATCTCATTCTATTCACAATTCCTTTCAACCTAATATTCTTAAATTTAATGAGAACCCTATACTGACTTGGGCCAAAATTAGCCACTCTAAACCTAAAGCTCTTCTTTCACATGTAGATCCCACTTCAGTTAAACATGCTTTGTCTCATCCAAATTGGTTTCAGGAAATGCAACTTGAGTATGATGCTCCCCTATCCAACCAAACCTAGTTTTTAACCTCTCTCACACCTCATAGAAAACATGTGGGTTACAAGTGGGTATTAAAGGTGAAAGAGAATCTCAATGGCTCTGACAATAAATACAAAGAAAAAATCGTTGCCAAGGGATATCATCAACAATTTGGATTTGACTTCAATGAGACGTTTTAACCAGGTGTAATACCAACCACCATTCAAGTCATTCTAACTTTGGCACTCACAAACAAGTGGGAACTACAACAAGTTAATGTCAATAATGTGTTTCTCAATGGCTCTTCGCAAGAGGATATCTATATGACTCAAACTCCTGCATTTGAAAAATAGGATCCATCTCTTGTATGTGAGTTTAATAAGGAGTTATATGGTCTCAAACAAGTATCTTGTGTGTGGTATGAAAAACTTACTCAGGCACTTGTTCACTTTGGTTTCACACATAGCAAATGTGATCACTCTTTGTTCATTTACTCACATGAGGGTGTAACTCTTTAAGCATTAGTTTATGTGGATGACCTTCTAATAACAAGATATTATTCTATGTTGGTACATAAACCCAATGATTCCCTTCATGTTAAGTTTTTTCTCAAGAAACTGGAACATCTTGAGTATTTCATGAGAATTGAAATAAAATAACTGCCTAGTGCATTTCTTCTTCTAACATAGTCCAAGTACATTCGTGACCTCCTGAATTGTGCCTACATGAATAATGCTAATGGGGTCACTACTCCTATGTTTACTGTTTGCAAGTTAAGCCGACATGGTGCCACACCTCTCACTGAGCCTCATCATTACCGATCCATGGTTGAAGCACTTCAATAAATGACTCTTACACGGCCATATATTGCCTTTAGTGTCAACAAGCCATTCTAATTCATGGCAACACCTCTGCAAACTCATCGGTTCATAGTCAAGCATATTCTAAGTTATCTGAGTGGTATCGTTTATCATGGTTTCCTTCTTTCAATAAAATTTTCCTTCTCACCGACACTGACTCTGATTGAGCGTATGATCTTGATGACATCTTGATGACCGCTGTTCCATATCGGGCCCGTGCATTTTATTAGTCCTAATATTGTCTCGTGGAGTTCTAAGAAACAACTGTTGGTTGTGTAACGCCCGTTAATTTAATTAATTATTTAATTAAATTACTTTTGGAATATTTTTTGAAGTTGTGAGATGTTGAGAATTGTTGATGTAAGTTCTTAAGATTATTATTAATTAATTAATTGGTTGATTAAGAATAATAATAATAATGTTGGAATTAATTGTATTAGTTGTTGGGTTTGTTTTGGTGATAGAAGAAGTATTAAGATGGTGTGAGAATTAGACCCAATAACAATACTATTATTATTAAGTTTGGTCATTGTAATAGAAATTAGATGTGACAGGAAGGAAAAATAGGTTTTGTCAAGTAGAAGAGGAATAAGGGTTGGAAGAGAGAAAAACAACGTAGAAGTTGCAGAGAAGAAGAAAAGAGGCAAAGCGAAATTCGATCGGAAAATTGTAGATCAACCTTCAACCCAAGGTAATGATAGGGTTCTGACTCTATAATTGGGTATATGATGCATGTTACGTGGGAATTGGGTTGTGTGAAATTGTTATTGTATGTGATGGTTGTATGAATAAATTGTTGTTTGGCATCTGTGATAATTGTACTAACGTTGCAGTAATTCAATCGATGAATCGAGTGTTGGAAATTACCATATATTGATGTGGGAATAATTATTGTGTTGGCATGAGAATTGGGCAGAGAAGGAATTACTGATTGCAGGAAAATTTGGAGGAAGTTGCAGAATTGTAATTGAAATTATAGACTTGTGCCGAGCGGCAAAAGTATGGTGGTGATGGGGTGCCAACCGGCACCATGTTTATGTGATGAGGGGCACGATTCACATGCCGAGGGGTACAAATCAATTTACTGCATCTTCTTTTAATTGGTTTGTGCTTTGCGTGTCTGTTACTTAGTAATTGTTACAGAAAAAGGTTTATTACAGTAGCAGAGCTATCAATTCAATTTATTTAGCAAAGTAGGTGTACATGTAGCAGAGATAATTGGTTGGTTACATAGTTAACAATAATGACCAACATGGTAGTAAATGTTAGCAGAAAATTATTAATTAGCTAGTAAATTAGCAGAGTTGTTTTAGTAGCAGTAAATAATAGAGTATTAATACATAGCTGGATTGGTTTATAACAGAGATGGTTAGTATGAAAATCGTAGAGTTGATATTTAACAGAGCTAATTAGTTGAATACTTTAGTAGCAGTAACAGAGAATTAATTATAGCAGAGTTAATTTAATGGAGTTGGTATATGTATATAGCATAATTGAATAACAGTGTAGTATTAAATTATCAGAAAACTAATAAGAAATATTAGTATTAAGTAGAAATAATAGAACTTTTAGCCGATAAGTAATTAGCAGGATTTAGTCGATTTGTCCAAACAATTATACGGGACAATTCTTGTATATTTTAGTCGATATGGTGTGTTGAATACTTTGCTGAAAAATATGAATTCCAGGTGGTATTAAATTGTTAAGTTTATAGCCAATATTGTTTTCTTGTTGATGTTGTTGTCGAATTACTATTGTTGATATGTTATTGTTGTTGTGACCTACTAAGTTGTAGGCTTATGCCAACGTTGCGTTAATTGTTGTTGTTGAAATATCAAGTTGTAGGCCTATGGCTAGTGTTTAATTTATTATTAAGTTGCAGACTTATGCCAACTTTATTATGTTGTTGTTGTTGATGTTTCATTTAATCATGTTGTCGCATACACCACATATCAAGTTAGAGCTGATGCTCATTAAGTTGGCTTGGATTGGCAAAATATTAAATTGAAGGCTTATGCCTTATTGATGCCTATATTAATTAGCAATTTCTAAGTTGGGAGTTCTGCTCCGTTTCTAAGTTGAGAGTTCTGCTCCATTTTTAAGTTGGGAGTTCTGCTCCGCTGGTACCACATGCATATGCATAGTAATGAGTTACATTCCATGTTGCATATTTTATTTGTTGTGTTGATAAACTATTTAATTATGTTTTGCTGATGTTCTGTTGTGATTGATGGTGTTCAAAGTTGTGAAGAGGTGATTTTGCATACACTAATTCTAATGTAATATTTATCATATATTTGATTATATAGTTTGATATCTTACCCCTTCTATTTGAGTGTTACCCCAATGTTGGTAACATGCAGGTAATCCAGAGTGAAGACGGTTTACCTACAATAGTCTGAATCGGTGTCATTGCTCTGATACGTAACA